TTTTTTTTTTTACTTATTAAAAAAAAAAAGAAAAACTCTCCCACTAAAAGAAAAACAAAAAAAGAAAACTTCTGTTAGAGTAAGGCTATATGTCTATGAGCTTATATGAGCGAGTACTTGCATAAGCCTTATTTAGGCTCAGCCTCAATGAGTTACAGTGAGTAGCATAAAAGATCTCAGGATAATTCAGCGCGATCATACCTATAAAAGATATTCGGATTCTTTTAATGTTTCTTTCTTTACTCTTCCATCCTGAATGAAGGGAATAGAGCAGTTCCGGCAAGCTTTACTGATCTCACCTCTGAATTTGTCCGCGCATCATGGGCTTGCCTCTGCACTCCTTAGTTTGGCAAAGGAATCTATTGATTCTGGTGCCTTTAAATGGGGAGCTTCACTCTTAGAGGTTAGTGATCCAGTAATTTTGAAGTTTCACCTGCTTCTGTAGTATTATGGTGCAGAAGGACATACTTATTCTATTCCTTCTCCCTTCTTCTTTTGGTTGAGATTTTTTCAAGCGATTTGCTTAATTTCAGGAAGCGTCGAAAGTGGCTCTAGAATGTACTTCCATTGTTGGCAATATGTCTTGTTCTTGGAAGCTGCATGGAGATATTCAGGTAGCGTCCAGTGAATTTTGTTTTTTCTTTGCATAATGCCATTCATTTTCGTGCAATTTTCTGTAATCTTCCATTTCCCAATCCTTCATGCCTTCCTACAGTGTCATATGGAGTATGTCAAGCCTACTCCCATCAAATGACTTTACTACATTGATGGTTTGGTGTTGACTGGTTGACAATGGTGCTGCTTCTTTCTTTTGTTAGCTCATATACGCGAAATGTTTTCCATGGATGGATGAAGGATTGGGATCAGGAGCTGATGAAAAATCATTCAGTAGTTCAATCCTGTCATGGAAGAGAAACTGCTGCTTAGCAGCCAGATCTGCTTGTCGCTCCTACCAGCGGGCTTTGCATTTGTCCCCTTGGCAAGCTAATGTGTATACTGATGTTGCCATTGCATCTGAGCTTCTTTTGTCGTTGAAGGAGAACTGTAAAGATGACATTAACTCTTGGTATATGTTTTGTTTTATTGCTTAATGTATGATTGCATTTGTACGAGCATAATCTTTTAAAGACACTAGCTCATTCAACAGGTTTGTGTCTGAAAAGATGTGCCTTGGAGGCTTATTACTTGAAGGTTGCAATAGCGAGTTTTGGGTAGCCTTAGGATGTTTATCTGATCATTCTGCATTGAAACAACATGCTTTCGTACGGGCGCTGCAGTTGGACGTTTCTCTTGCAGTTGCATGGGCACATCTTGGAAAGGTAACTTGCTGCATTAGTTTCCAAGATTATCTGTCTTCATTTATCTCTCAAAGCTTTCAGAGTTTATAGGAGGAATAAGAGATAAGAAGTTAACTGAAGAAACTGAATATTTTAGTAGAGTAATTAATCTTTTTCTCTATATTGCTGCTTGAAGATTCTTTGGTAACACTAAGTGATTGATTTGTATCATGGATCACGTAATAACTGGTCCATTTATTGAATATCGATGCTAGAATCCATAGAATTTGGACAGCACTTCTTCCTCCAATCTTGAGAACAACTCGTGGAGTTTGCCAAAATGTATGTAAATTGGTTTATGATAAGATATTCAATCACAAGAGTCAACAACAATAACAAACCCAATATAATCCCACAAGTGGAGTCTGGGGAGGGTAGTGTGTACGCAGACCTTACGCGTATCTTGAAGGTAGAGAGTCTGCATCCGATAGACCCTCGGCTCAAGGAAAGATGAAAAGAAAGCAATAGCACAAGCATTAACAACAACAAGATAATAAGAAAACGAAGCGAAAGGAACAATGCGTAGTATTAGAAATCATACAATAATAGGACACCGGACTAACACTAATACTACTGGTATGGGAAACACCAGACTAACAAGAGCAATATGCCTGAAAAATCATTCTTTTTCTGCATGAACTGTTAGAAAATTTAGTTTGGGCGTGCAATTAGTTTCCTCATTGGAGTCTTAAAAGTGGATCGATTCCTCAATTTGTTAATTTGGTGGTTTAGGGCTCAAACCCATGAATTTCCAAGTTCAAATCTTCAAATCAAATCTAACCCATGGTATAATATCATCATCTAAGCTGAAGTATTTCACTTGAATCTTAAATATTGATACCCATCTCAAAGAGAGCACAAGGATTACTAATTACTATGAATGGAAATTACTGGCTGTTTTTTGGGGTTGTTGAGCACGTCTTGATTTGTATAACTTTACGTAGATTTAGGCTCTCCTCTTTCCCCCTCAAAACTTCTGTAGCTGCTGCAGTGGAGAAGCTGTAGCACTTATTTTCCCCCATTCTCTTTCGCTGTCTCAAAGAAGATCAAGCAGAATGCTTGTATTTGCAACTCCAAGTTCAACGCCCCTCAAATACCCTTCCTGTCGCCATCAGCTATACACCATAACATTTGGCTGGCCCCTTATTATTTTATCATTATATATGTACCTGTGAAGCACTTATATGCTGCTAAATAAAGAATACCTTTCAGATCTGAAAAATTGCCCCAAATGCTCTTTCTCCCTTTGTCATTGTTCCAGTAAAGGAGGGAACTTGGTCTATTGGATTTTATGTGCAAAGCTTGTATCAATTCCCTCCTTTGAGACACCTCACATGTGACATGACTATTCTTTCCCAAACAATTCACTTTTGAATTCTAATTCAAAGAGATATTAAACCATCGCATAACATTTTTGATTTGCCCAAAACTTCACTTTATTACATTTCTAATTCCATTGCTCTTTTTGGACTTGCTATCCACGTTTCTTTTCCCTAAATATTACTGATTTATGGATAAATATTAAGTACTATTTCCACCTCAAAGTTGTTATGCAAAGTTTCACTTATCTTTGTCGTCAAAGCTCCAGTTTTCCACCGTGATTGCCCATGGGTGTCAACGATCATTGACAGTAATTGTCATTCCATTTTTGTTTTCAATAGTTGGGCAGAAGAAGCCCAACTAGGTATTTGGGTGGATCACAACCCGAAATATTTTGGACTTGCTAAAAGAGGCATCCATGTCGGAATGGGCTTGCTTTCTTTCCCTAAGCGAGGATACAACAACAACAACAACATCAACAACATACCCAATTTGATCCCAACAGGAGGGGTCTGGGAGGGTAGTCTGTACGCAGACCTTACCCTACCTAATGCAGGTAGAGATGCTGTTTCCAATAGACCCTCGGCTCATGAAGGGCAAGAAGAATAAGAGGAAAGCAAGGAAGGAAGAAAGATGTAAGAGGAAAGAAAAGGGAGAGATAAAGGATAAGTAGTACCAAATAATATCAACAGAGAAGACAATACCTGAGGCGAGCAACACCACATAACATAATAAAAAATCTAAGCATATGAAGAGACAGGCATGCTACTAAGACTATCGGCGAACAACTACAAACGATCTACTAACCTTCTACCTTAATCCTCGACTTCCACACCCTCCTATCAAGGGTCATGTCCTCAGTGAGCTGAAGCAGCGCCATGTCTTGGCTAATCACCTTTCCCCAGTACTTCTTAGGCCTACCTCGACCTCTTCTCAAACTCTTCATGGTCAATCTCTCACACCTCCTAACAGGAGCATCAATGCTTCTTCTCTTATCATGTCCGAACCATCTCAGCCTTGACTCTCGCATCTTGTCCTCCACGAAAGCTACTCCCACCCGGATAGCTTCATTCTTAATCCTATCTCTCCTGGTACACCCACACATCCATCTCAACATCC